CCTGTGCGAAAAAAACGGGCTAAGGCTGTTTCTTCTTCTCTAGTAGGTTCCTGATTATCTTTGGTGGGGTCCCAGGATCCAGCGATTTTTAATCTATGGGAGAGATGGGGGTGTATACTCTCCTTTAAGTATTCGTTTGGCGAAGGGATTCCCTGAATAAAATCGGGTGCCCACGAGAAGCGGGTTCAGAAAAAAAAAAAAAATGCCTTTCCCTGAGAAACCATGGGGGGTTTCCCCTCTCCCACCCCCTCCGGAAACCAGGTGAGGGAGGCCGGAAAAAGAAAACAAAAATAAAAAATAAAAAAAAAGATACGTGGGGACGCCACCTTCCGTGCGTAGGGCGGTCCTTAATAGAATCAGCATCGTGAAGAAAAACGGTTCACCAGAGAAGTCTCGGGTTCGTGCGGGCGATACAAGGGATAAAAACAACCCCTTTGGAGGCCCCCCACCACGGAAAGGGAAATATAGAATATACAAAAAGTCCCGGACGACTTTCAAGAGTTAGTATCACGCTTCTGCGGTCATAAGGTAAACTCAGAAAATACCTTCTACTGGGTACGGCAAGGGTTTCTTCTCTCTCCTTCCTTCATTTTTTGTGCTTAATTCGTGTTTTCCCTTTTTTTTGGTTATTTATAGAATCCTAGACCCTATGGAAATAAAAAAAAATAAATAAATGAAACTGGAAGAGGTCCCCTAGTAAGAACAAAAATAAGGAAGCAAAACACACAACAGGGTTGAAGGAATGAACGTTTTGATTAAAAAAAGAAAAAAAATGTGTCGTTTTTTTTTTTTTTTTTTTGGCGACCTGCGTCGAACGGCTTCAGAGTTTACCTCATCGCTTGTTTTTTTTTTCTTTTAAATGCGTTATGTTATTCTGGCTGCAACCAATTTCCTTCCCATTTTCTTCTTCCTAATTTCTTTTCTTTTCTTTCTCCTTGAACCTCTGTCTTCCACAAACTGAAGTATAGATTGTAGATTTGTACATCTCTGCAACCGACAGATGGCGGAGGCGGCCGCTTCCCTCTTTATTATGATCCTTGAAAAAAAAAATTATTATTATTATTATTATTATTGTTTTTTTTTTTTTTTTAATCTTGTCGTTTCCTCACCCACTTTCATTACTCTTTCACTATTTCCTGTTATAAAGTTTCATGTCGTCTGTCTTCGTAGTTTCCCCACCTATTGGGAAAAATTTAAAGTCAGAGGATCAAGAAAAGCAATAATCACAATAAAAGTTATAAAAATAATGACAAAAAGAGCAAGAGGTGGTGAGATTACTCTACCACTGCAAAGAAACAAATGCATACACACAGAAAGAAAGAAAGAAAGAAGGTAAGAGAAAATCAGCAAGGTTAATCCTGCTCCAAAAGGAGTTGTTAACGACGAAGAATTAAAGGGAAAATAAGAACGAAAGCGAGAATAATAATAATAAAAAAAAAACCACGCAAAAGTAAAACATCGGAATAAAAAGAAAGCGTAAAAAGAAAAAAAAAAGAAAATCACGAAAATAAAGAATGAAGATGAAACACATTAATAGTTTCTCTGCATGACTGGGTAGGTGGCCCCAAGAACATAATTACTATCTTTCTGATATAGGCATTATACATACATAAATACATACATACGTACATTTTTAGTTCTTCAAAGAGATAATCAAGAATGAATACACTACGGAAATCTCAAAAAGACTCCCATTCAGTTATTCTTCTCTTTTTACTTGTTTATTTTTATGTTTATTTTTCCTTTCTTTTTTTTTAAAAAAAATTTTTTTGGGTTGGTTTCGCACGTGACCCAATAAAACAAAACTAATATGTTTTTTTTATTTGCGTCTCTTTTGGAGACGAAAGAGGGAAAGTGCATGTCGTTTTTATTTTATTTTATTTTTTTCTGATTTTCTTCATATATATATATAACGGGTGGTGCGCAGATACATGCAGAGTGTGAGAGAGAAAGAGAGAGAGACACATACACTTAAAAACAAGAGCAACGGCGAAAAAAAAAAAACAACAACGTACAGAAGGGGAAGAGCAAATAAAAAAAAAAGACGTACACACACACATAGTGAGAAATAACGAAAAGAACCGAAAAAGAGAGAAACAATCAAACACATACTCCTACTCTCTCACACTATTATTATGTCTCTGTGGGAGAGGGAGAGATTGTGTGTGTATATGTATGTATGAGAGACAATCTTGTCATGGTAAACGTATGCAATATGCATGTGGAAACAAAAGAAAAGCGAATTGCTATACTACATATTTCCAACAGCAAATTCCAACCCCATTTCTCTCTTTCTTTCTTTCTCTCTCCCTCTCTTTCTATCTCTCAAATACACAGAATCACCCTCTTGTTCTTCGCATACACAAACATTCAATTCTCTACTCATTCTTTTTTTTTTCCCCCCCTTCCATCCCCCTCACACAATAAACAATCACTCAGGCCCATATGGTCTACTTTTCTCTCCTCTCTACTCAACAATTCCCTGGAAAATACGGATGGGAAATCAGAGAAAACCACATATAGGGAAAAGCAAAAAAGAAAAAGAAAAAAACAAAAACCAGCCGACTTTTTGTGTTTTTGGGTACGCGAAGATGGAAAAAACGAGAGCGGGAGTGTGTGTGTGTGTATGTGTCCAAAAAGAGTAGTACGTAAAGCAAAAAACAAAAAAAAAAAAATGGAGAAAAGTGAAAACACATCGTGAATTACGGTAAAAGTAAAGAGCGAAATAAGAAAAAAAAAAAAAAAAAAACACACACACAAGCAATAATACGAAGATTTCGAGGGGATGGAAGAGTTGAAACGAATAAGAGCGAGAATAAACGAAGATAGAAGGAATCTCCCTATCATTCTCAAGAAAGCATGAAACATAACGAGACAAACGTAATAGGAGAAAGAATATTATGATCATTAATGATTCGAACCTTTGCAAAAGAGCTTGTGAATAATTTTCCGCATCAATACCAATACACCCGAACCATTACGATGAATAAGGATCCCCATAAAAAAAAAAAGAAGAAAAACAAAAAAAAA